GTAGTGGGTTGACGGCTCCTGCTGAAGTGGGAATCGTTTGAGCATCATCTGTCTTTTTTACCCCCAGTGCCCTGCAGCAATAACAGCGAGGATCCAGGGGGTTTGGTGCTTGTTTACCGTGACAGCTGCAGTAAGGCTGGTTGCCACCATGGGGTACCGGCTTGGATGGCAGCCCTCTTGCAGCGATATGTGCAGATGCTGGGTTATTGAGCATCAGAGTTCAGCAAGAACACAGCTGAGGACCAGAGCCCAGATGGCTGGGAGAGATGGCAGAAAACTGAGCTAACAGTGTCTCAGGACATGATCCAGTCACATGCAGACACCCTGACATACACATACTGACACTATAACACAGCACGAGACGACCATTAACCTGGTGAAATGGCATTTCTAAGGTTTGTGCCCTCTTCCTGACACGCTTCATTAATCTGTCTCTGCACGAATGTGGCTGCTATCCTGAGCAGGTCTCCATCACTGATACGGGGTGAATGACTTCCAGCAGTCACCTGTGCAGTGTGGTAGCTAAAAGCCTTTGGCAGATGTACCTGAAGCCCATCATTGTGACTCTAATAAACACCCTAATAGCCTGTTAAATATATAATGAACAATTAGACCTGAAAAGGAGGAAATGCTGTTATCCAGTTCTGTTTAGATAAATGGATGGAAACCTGTAGAAAGAGAAGAAATCATTAAAGTATGAGGCAGCTCGTGTACTTTGTATGCAGGAAATCTTTGTTTTCCTTGCTCTTTGATATTCAAAGGAGACTTCCCATCTGTGAGAACATGGCCTTTTTTATCAGCACTGAAGTGGTTAGTAGCTGCAGATAACACAGAGACAATCTGTGCTGGTCGCACACTAATGCCGAGCGCATCCACAAACGCACATATATTCATTCTTTCTCACACACAGCACACACACACTCAGAGATCAAACTGTAGGGATGAATTTTCTCCTTCACAGCATTATATTTCAATTTCATAACTCACTCTGCGGCTGAGTCACATTGTTTATAGAATCGCCTGCCATCATGTGCCCACACACAGGCCTCTTATTTCTGATCTGCCACATACACACAAGCTCACATTTGCATGCACATATACAATATACAATGTTATACCTATAATCATCCAGGTTTGTAACCTGGTATTGGTAACAAGGAAAATTATAATAGCGCACATCAGAGAAGTGACAAAGAGGCGCTCACACACACACACACACACACACACACACACACACACACACACACACACACACACACACACA